AATGTTAAGAAAATACAATATCTCTAACATTACTAATTCTGGTCTTGATCTACATACTATGGTACAAATATAAAAATCGATAGTGCTAATAGCAGTTCCCTCATTCTAATCATAAATTATTTTACTTTTTTTGTTCTATGTAATTTAGGTTAAAAAAATTATATGGCTCGCTGACCAAGTGGGCAGAAATATTTTACACATTAAATGTATCAGAAAATGATAGTACAATGTTGTAAGCTGGTTTGATAATTCAAAGCTGCCAGCCGATGCCTTGCCCTGAACTATATCTTCTTCATATCATTCCGAAGATGAAGACGAAGAAGATGAAGATGAAGAAGATGAAGAAGATAAAGAAGATGAAGAAGAAGTATATGAATTAGAAAATGAAAAAGTAACAGAAAGTGGTAGTGGTAATACTGAAAATATCAGTACAAATAATAATAGCACACATAAAAACATTACAGATAATAACAGTACAAATAATAGTGATACAAATAATAACAGTACAAATAATAGTGGTACAAATAAAGAAGGGGCTAAAGAAGGTGCCGTTATTACTGATGGTGAATATGAAAGCCATTGAATTAGAAAGAATATATTAGCATTTTTGCATTGCTTTTGTATTTTCTTTTTTTTATATTGTAATATTGCTTTTGTAATAATACAAATAAAATGTTTAATAAGCATATTGCTTTAATTAAAAATGTAAAGTAATAACAAATATAAAAAACTATCAGTAATTAGATAGGAATATCGGTATATCGATATGTGTCTAAAAAGTGTTCTGAAAGTTACCAATATGCTTCTGAAAAGTGTCCTGAAAGATACTGATTTTTATATTAAGGTTAATATCAGTTTTTTGATAAAGATATCAGTAAATCGATTTTATTTTTAATTTTAGAATGTTTTACTAATACTTTTTCGATATGTTTTGTAATAATACCGAAAGGTATTCGATTCCTGCCAAATTTCTGTTTCATATCAGTGACATATTGGCTTTAAATATCGGTTTAATTTCATATTTACCTTATACTAATTTCGATTAATATTGGCATTCCGATATTTCTCCAGTATAGCTTTATTTGACCTGTGCTATTATTGAAGTATATCTGTTTTGCTTAGAGCTCTTGGTAATAGTAAATATAAATCAAATTCATTGTTGCTATTTTTTTGAATTAGTTGAGAACATGTAAGCACTAAAATAAAAAAAATATCTTTCTCAATATTATTAAATATTAAAAAATTCAGTTGACTTTTTTTAAACTTATCATTTGTAGCCAGTTTATTATACTTTATACATACTTTCAAAATAGTATAATGTTTCTCATCATTTGTAAAAATTTGCATATCCTTAGTTCAAAGATCAAAAAAAATTGCAAGTTGAATTAATTGGATTGGTTCTAAAAACCATGTTTGAATTAATTTAAAAAGATAATTTTCAAAATTTTTAATATCAATATTAGATATTAATATATTAAATATTAATATATTATTAATTTTTAATTTAATATAATTAATTACAAACCATGCTTGTGAGAGTGTTAGATACTGTAAACCAGATAATTGTATTGAAATAACCTTATATGGATATAATAGTTCAACTAACCTATCTATTTTTTTCTAGTCTTTAGATGATAGTTCTTTTTCTTTATAACTTTTTAATGAATTACTTTCATTATTTTCAACTAAAAAAGACTTATATCTATATAGTGCTAGTTTAAAAATAATTAACCTTTTTAACAAATAAAATGTTAAGTTCCAATGTATTGAAACATCATAGACTACAGAAAGCAACCTATCTTAATTGTCTATTGTCATTTGAGCTGTTAATAGAAACTGCTTTTGTTTTGAACTTCTACTAAAATGCAATATGATATCCTTGCATTTTTTTATAAGATTAATAATTTCAGGACATCTTTTTAATATGTCATTTATTACAAGATGTAAGGTATGACCAAAACAAAATTTTTTAGATATATTATACCTATTCTCTAACTTTTCTAAATATAACTTAATATTTATACCATTATTAATTGTACTATATACAATTTTGCTTATAAGCTGAAATTTGTTTAAAATTTTAATTATTTTATTTGCAAGTTGTTCTGCTGTATGAGAGTACAGAAGATATAAAATTTTACCAACTATTTCTCATATTTGAAAGTCTTTATTCATCTAATAAAACATAAGTCCAATATATGGATTATTGTTATCTGAAGTCCACATATTTGTAATAAATAAGATATAACAAATTTTATTATTGTCATATATATGCTCATGCATGCTTTACAAAACTTTATTCTTAGTATTGATTAAAATTTTTTTTAACTGATTATTGCTTAAAACACTAGTTTGAGGGTCCAAGTTTTCTATTGTTTTTATTAAAGTTTATAATTTTAGAATTGAAAAGAGTTTGAGTTCTTCAGTGATAAAAGCAGCAAGATTACTGTTAAGTTTTTTTTGCTTTAGATGATTGAATGTATATTTTGCTGTTTTGCTAAATGCTTCTATTAATGTTTCTTGTAAGGATTCTGCTATTATATAAAATTTATATTTGCTTCTACTTTTTTGTTATTCTATTTTTACCTATTTACTTTTCATTATTGTTCTTGAAATATGATGTTTGCTTCTCAAATGTCATCATAAATTTGATATGATGCTATTTTTTTTATATTTTATTTATAAACAGATTTTGTAATGACATGTTCAATATTCTATATTATTAAACAACATTATCTTATAAAAAGGTTTAACAGAACTATCTCTTAATTTTACAGTTTTTTTTTTATGCTAAGTTGTAGATAACTGTGAAACTTTACTTATATTTGAATTATCTGTAATAACTATATAATTATTAGATTTTACCTCTAAATGCTCTGATTCTACTATCTTCAAATTAGCATTTACATGCTCTGATTTTACTATTTCCAAATCAGCATTTATATGTTCTGATTTTACTAACTTCAAGTTAATATCTACATGTTCTAACTCTATATTATTATAATACTCTTCATTGTTCTTATTACAATACCCTTCATTATTCTTATCACTATATCCTTTATTATTCTCATTACTATACCTTTCATTATTCATATTGCAATACTTTTCATTATTTATTGGTACAGTTTTCCTAGATTTTATTATTTATATTAATGAATTACTAATTAAATATAGTAAAATTATTCATTAACTTATTTTATATGATGTAAAATCTATTGTATTCAATTTAGATAGTTAGTTTCTTAAGATAAAAAAATAGTAGAAATGAGTATTTCTTAACAAAAAAAATTATAAAACAATAAAATAAAATTTTTATCTTTTTATTAAAAAAAAAACTAAAGTTGTTAGTCTTTAATTTCAAATGAAAGGCCTAGAAGAACTTGTTAAAGTTTTTTATCTGCTTTATGTTCAAGGCTTGATTTGCTTAAAAGCCACTAGGAACTATTAGCACTATAATATTTTATAATAAAAGTTTAACTTATCTGGAAACAAAAAAAAAAAAGTCGCAACATTAATAAAGTCTTATCTGTTTAAGTTAAACTTTTTTTATACATTATATACTCATCTACAGGGTTATTTCATGAAACTTCAATGGTAAAAGAAATCTACTTTCTATTTTATATTTAAGCACAAGTTTGTTAAACATATTTTTATATGTCATTATTTTGCATATATTTAGATCTGATTGGCTAGTATAATTAATTATTACATGTGCTAATCTAATTAAATAATTTGTTTAATCTGAGTCATGACTTGGGTCAATATCTAATCTGAATCTTATTGACCCAAGCCAATATTTCTGACCTAAATAACATCTCTAGTTCTGTTATAATGATACTTAGATTAGCTGTAAAAATGAGTACAGAAGGCTCTAGAGGGTTTACTTTGAGAATAAATTAGTTTTAAAGTTAAGATGATAATCTGGACATCTGAATATAATCTAGTAAGTTAGCACAGATTATAGCTTCAAAGAGTTTAAAGTAAAACACCTAAGCAAAGGTGTTAGATATAATAATTAGTAGAAAACCTTTAGGCAAACTTCTTAAATAAATAATATAGAAAAGTTATATATATAGTCAATTATATATTCTCTTATAGTAGTTTATTGAATCACAATACCAATAAGTGATTAATAAAAGTCAAAAAACCAAAGAGGTTATCTTAATACCAAAAAAAAAAGTTTTATATTAGTCTTGTTAGATTTATATATTATTTACTATATTATTTATTTTTAATATTTTCTTATAATTTATATAATTATTAAGCTATCTGTTATTATTATTTAATATTTATTAATAATTATATTAATCATCTTATAATATCTTTATTTTAATCTAAATTTTAAATTTTAATATAACATTATTATATCATTCTATAATTTTAAGTTAATAGTTTATTATTTTTATTAATTATTATAATTTCTTCTATACAATATTCAAATATTTGTTTTTTGACATTTTCATTTTACTACTTTCTTATATCAGCCTTTTATATTAAAAAATTTTGACCAGTGTTTTTTAATAATTATTAAATTAGTTTATTTATAATCTACAATTCAAATTATTAATAATAAACCAAGATATTCTGCAAGTTAAGACCTAGTTAAACAAACAAATAAAAATTTAAAATAAAATTAGGAAAATGAATAAAAAATAATAACTATCAAGATTAGTTATTCAGATTACAAAATGCATAATAAAAAGTCTTATAAATTTGTATTTAGTAGAACTTCATATAGTCATTTTGTAATATTTAATTATTTGTTTGAAACAAGTATTTTTTTGAAAATGAAATTTCAAATAAATTTGGATTAATGTAAAAAAATATTCAAGAATCAAATAATGATTTGAATGATTTTATTAATAATACTGGTATTAATACTATATTCTTAACAGAAATCAAGTCTTTATACAGATTAGCAGGTTTAAATCAAGATTTAAATACAGATAAAAAAACCATAAAATAGTAAGTTATTATAAATTTTATTAATGTTATTTATTATTGGTTTATATGTAAACAGGTGTTATATTAAAATTAATTTTTATCAATTTTTTTTCTATATACATTTAATTACTACCTTTACAAGATATATTAAATCAACTCTTAACAAGACATCAAGTATTACAAAATTTTGCTTGTCAAAATTTAGAAAGTTATATAGTCAAAATAATATCTGCAATAATTGCAATATCAAAACATAAATTAGAATATAATGTTGAAGAATATATAAAGATTTTTATCTCTAAAATTAATCAATTTGATACAGATTGATCAATTCTTTTATGTAAAGTCTTAGAAAAGTTAAGTTATAATGATAAATTTAAATATCATCTTGGATGCAAAATGATATATTGAATAATTTATATTACACAGGTGAGATGAAACCATTAGGTGTAAAAGAATATCTAGAATTGGATTATATTCCATCAATCATGTATCTGTAAGGGAAGCAGCACGAAGCCAGAATACTGGCATACTTATGAGAACAATGTGCAAGTGTAAAAGCAACCGTAATACCAATAAATGTCATTGCAAAAAATCCAACGATGGGTGTGAAAGTAAATGCCACGGTGGAAATAGGTGCAATAACAAAATTCAAGTTTAATTTATGTATAAATAATTTATATGATTAGAATTATTTGCTATTTTCTGCTTTATGTATAAATTACGATTTTAATTTGACGCAAGTTGGAAATTTTAATTTTACGCATCTCAAATTTGAAATTTCGATCTGACGCAACTCAGTTTTAAACCCACACCTATTCTAATTTGACGCACAACATATACACATATTCCGTTGAGAAAGGTTATATAATTCTGACCCATACGCTCATTATATATGCCTATATCTTAAATTATCAAACATACATTTATACTAGTTAGTCAACTGTTATCTGTTATTATATACAGTATTCGTCTGTTTAAAGCTTTGTTTTTTTTTTTAAGATTTCTGCTAGATCGCTACTTTTAGCTTATTCTCTTTTTTTTCGTTCAATGAACAGAATTTTGTCAATTCAGTAGTTTAACATTCATACGTTCCGAAATATTTTCGTTGTAGTGAAACTTAATAGAAAGGTTGTTGGATTCAACCGATATTATTAAAATATGGCACAAGTTTGCTTAGTAGAGATAAGTTCTTAAAAAAGTATTGTATAAAAAATTTTTTTATCAATTGTGTAACCGATCTTCAAATTGATGGGACGGTCATTGCAATCCTTACAAGTTTATTGTGTATTAGAATTATAAGTGCCCCATAAAATTTATGTAAGCAAAATTATGCAATAAATTGGTTAATCATATTCCCTTTGACTAAATCTATCGTAAAGATCGTCTTAATAGGATGGGATCTTTACAACATAAAAACGTATACCTAATTCTACTATTATACCCTCATTGTCACATTAACCACATGAATTGTATTTTGGGATTACTTGTCGCAAACTTCGACTACATTGGTTGAGTCCCGTTGAATTGCTGAAGTTACATTACTTGGAGTAGGTAAATCCTTATTTTCTACTAAACAATTCCATTCTATCTCCTCACGACCATGATCCTTCAAATATTTATTGGCTTTTGACCAATGACGACAATCGAAAAATCCACGTTGTGCCGATAATGGAGAAGGATGTACTGCCTCCAAAACAAGATGTCGTGTCTAAAAGTCGAATAGATTTATTCGCAACTGCAAGTTGAAATATTTAAAAAAAAAACTGATCAAACCTATATACCTTATTGATGACTTTGCCCTTTTTAATCGCATGACTACCCCAAAGCATAAATACTAATCCGGTTTTTTTCTCATTTAGATATTGAATTACGGCATCTAATTTGAAATGAATATGTTTAGCTGTCTTAATGATATTTAAGTAAAGTTATAGATATCATAACATACCGGTAAATTTTTCCCAACCTTTACCACTATGGCTTGCTGGCTCATGTGCGCGTACTGTAAGTGACGTGTTCAAAAGCAGAACTCCAGATTTAGACCAATTGGCAAGATACCTATTATTAATTAATGAAAGCTAAGCCAAAATGATATAATATTGTGTTTAACTAATTACTAACCCGTGTTTCGGTGTCTGAAACGTTGGGATATCATTTTTCAAGCCTTTATATATATTGATAAGTGATGGTGGTGGTGGAACGTTATGTGGAACGCTGAAGCATAAACCATGAGCTTGCCCATCGTTATGATATGGATCTTACAAACGATGCTAGTTAATGCGCGATTTTTTTTAACCTTCACTATAGAAACATACAACAAAATACCTTGTCCCAAAATCACAACCTTGACGGTAGAAGGAGGCGTAAATCTTGACCAGCTGTAAATTTGGGACTCTGTGATATAATAGTAAGCAAATTAGAAACATATTAAACAAATAATCAAAATAAAAATAAAATAATAGTATCGAACCAGGAGGGAATATTTTCTTATTATTCGATTTTTCGGTATCGAGAAATTTTTTCAACTAAAAATGAAACGTTAATTAGATATTTTGTTATTATGTTCATAATATGTTAAATGAGATATTCTTTGCAAACCTCAACAAAATATGGCTTTTGTATTTCGTTCATTAATACTTTCAACCACTCGCCATCCATGGTTTCAAGTTCTATTCGTAACAACTTTTTCATTTCTTCACTCATTTTTCCGGTGGCTTTAGTTACTACTTCCCCAGTAGATGGTTGTTTAATCCAAGACGTAAGAAAAACTTGTTTTGAGGTAATAGTTTTTTGCTTTTTGCTATCTTGACTGTTGTCATCGGGAGCATCCTTACGTTTCAACATTTTAGTTAGGCTTCTAAATTTTATCAACGCGTTCTTATAAAATAATGTCGCGCACATTAAATGTGGCTGATTAAGCATGATTAAAATCACATTTGATTGGTTGTCGATCCTTGAATTTTTATCATATCCACCGATTTGATTTTTTTTGTTTGTTTTGACGCACCCCAAAATTATAATTACACGATATGCAGGGTAGGTCAGCTAGTTGACGCACTGTTTATACCAATAAAATTTAAAACATGTGATACAGTTAAACTATCTACTATAAATATAACTTGCTTTTAAAAAATTTAGAAAGTGCGAATTCCATTGTGGTTACAGGGACTAAAGGCAGGTAGGCGGGCCTACAGATTTTTTACCCTGCATAAGGTAATAATTTGTCTATATAAACAATATGCAAGAATGTTTTCTTTCTACAACGAAGTAATGTAACTACTTTCTAATCTCTTAGTATATACGTACTAGACCTGGGCTTACTACTGTATATGGTTTAAAAATTGATGGAATATAACATGCCCGGGTCTTGTAAGTAAAAATTTACAGTACTACCTTTATGAAGAAATATATACTGATATAAATTTTTCAATCTTGCTCAAAAACTTTATTTCTCATAGAATAATAACTTTTTTTTTTTTGAGTATCCCTGTTGCTTTTAGCAACTAGGGGCGCAGGTGGTGCTTTTTATTAAAGTATTATATTAAAATAATTATGAACAATCTAGATACATTTTAGATATTTACAGATTAGTTTAGCAGTTTTAAGTCTATAACCTAGTATGTTGTGTTTTAAAACACATATTTCTTTCAAAATACAAGCTTTGATTAGTATACTAAGGAAGTTCAAAGGAGTATTAGAACTTTCTCATTTTAAAGCAGTATATTGATACCAAATTTTATAAATTATATTGATATGTAGTTAGGTTATAGTAGTTAATATTTGAGTGCAGTCAATATTTAAGGTCTGAAAAATGTTCTTCAAATTGGTTGATATAAGTTTTTCTTTATTAAAGTTTAAAAACTTATATGTCTTCTTTCAGATTATTATATTTCTAGGACATTTAAAAACAAAATGCTCAAGAGTTTGTAGTTTTTCTGAACACCAAATACAGTTACCTGTTTCAGATAGTCTTATATGTTTAAGACGATATTCTAGAAGAAGAGTTCTGTGAAAAAGCTGTCAAAAAATATCTTTTTTCTTATTGCATATCAACTTTAAAAAAAGCCAAGTAGGTTGTATAGTCTGAAATGCAGAATGCAGAGAGATAGGTAGTGGAGTAGTTTTCTTTAAGAGTTCTAAGATTTTTTTAACTAAGAGCTCATCTTCTTTCATTTTATTGATTATAATTTCTTTTTTGTTTCAAGGCTAGTTGGTAATAAAAAAGATTCTTCTTTTAGTTTTTGTCCAAGCTAAAAGGTAGAGTTTCTATTCTGTAAACCAAGTTTTGAGTGTATATTGTCCAAATTTAGAGCCTGTATTGGAGAGATGTTTCTTTTTTCTCTAAGTATTTTGCTTATTTTGCTTCTTTCATATAGTGCTCATATTGAGTTTGAGATAAAGAGTTTTATCCAAATGAAGATTAAATGTGTATCTAACATTTCTTTAATAATTAGAGCTTAAAGTTCTGCCAAGTCTATAGATTATTGAAAAGTTGAATATCTGAGAAGCATTCATGAAGAACCTTTGATCCAAAAGAAGATAATTCTATTTATTTCTGTTATTTGCTTTCTGTTAGGAGGTAGCAAATAGGCTAAGTACCAAATTTTAGATAAAATAAATGAATTTGCAATAAGAATTTTTCTTTTAAAGAAGAGATTTCTATTTAAGAGTTTGTCAAAGGATCTTTTTAGCTTATTAGTAGTTGTATCTCAAAAATCTTTTTTTGGTTGACTATTTATAAGAACATTGTAACCTAAGATAGTAATAATATCTTGTTCCTCATTACAGAGCTCCACTCTTCTTACAATAGAGATAAGTGAGACTAGTTTTGTTTTTGTTTTACTGATTTTTGTATTTGAAATAGCCTCATATAAGCTTATCGAAGCTTATACTTTGTTTCAGTCAAAAGAAGATCCAATTCCTATAGTCAAGTCATCAGCATATGCTAAGGTTTTAAAATATTGATTTTCTAATTTAATTACTTGCATTTGTCTTTTCAGAGTTCTTATAAGAAGCTCAAAAGCTAATACATATAGCAGTGGTAAGAGAGGATCACCTTGTCTAACTCCTCTTTTGACTTTGAATGGTTTAGAGATATTGTCTGCTTCGATAATATAAGCTTCTTAGAAGTAAAAGAGATTATGAATTAGATTAATAAATTTAGTGTCAAAATTCATATTTTCTAAAATAAGCTTTAAAAAGTCATAGCTGACTCAGTCGAAGGCTTTTTGTTAGTCAACAAAAAGTAGCCAATGCTGTTTAGATGAGTCTGGCTGGTTTCTCATAGTTGTAATTATATTCAGTGTTGCATCTGTAATAGATCTATTTTAAATAAATCCATACTGCTAATGTGATATAAGTTCTTCACAAATAGAATTTAGTCAATTAGCTATAATCTTTATGAATATTTTTGTATTATTGTTTACTAAAGATATTGGTTTTTAGTTATTTATATTTTCCAAATCTGTTGATTTTTTAGGTATTAGAGAAATCAGACTCTTGCACCAAGGGTTGGCATAATTCCTGAGTTTAGTGCTTGATTGAATATTTTATATAAGATAGAAGTTATAGTCTCTTCGATGAGTTTGTAGAACTCATATGTTAGACTATCAGTATCTGAAGTTTTGTTAGTTAGAAGGTTTTTGATAATATTGCTAATTTCTTCTTAAGTAATTTCTCAGATAAGTATTGAGTTATGAGCTGATGAGGCTTGAGGCAGATTTTCTGTAATCTTTTTGACTAAGTCAATATTTATAACTTCTTTCTTATAGATTTTGGCATATGTATCTTTAATATATTAAAAGGTATTTTCATATGATTGTAATAAGGTCTCAGGATCCTTGATGTTCTTTAAAGATGAATGAGCTTTTCTGATTTTATATCTAGTGAAGAAGTATTTTGTAGATTTTTCTCTCTATTCAATCCATTGTGCTTTTGAGCATATTTGCTATTTTTCTGTAAAATATAATAGTTCATCTTGAAGATTTAGACTTAGTCTATCTATCTGATTATATAGAAAAGAATTTTTTGAGTTGTGAGCTAGTTGTTCCTTCAACAGAATTATATTTTTATTTAGCTTTGTGATTTTATTTTCAGTAGCTTTTGGCTTTCTAAATGCTCTTATAATAGATTGAATATGAACTTTACAAAAGTCCTATTCATTAGCTTCTCCAAATTTTGTGATTTTTTCTAGTACTTCTTTTTTTAGTTTTTCATTTAAGAAGCAGCTTTTGTTAAATCTTCAGAGAGTTGACTCCCTTTTTTTGGCTTTAAAGAAAAGAGTGCATTCTACCAGAAGATGATCTGAGTTGCCAAACTTAGTATCAATTTGTGAGATGAGATGTGCATTATTTTCATTAATGAAAATATAATCTAAATGTATAGCCATAGTCTGATTGCCTTGTGTTTTTTGAAAAAATATATGAAAAGGTCTCGATTTGGCAAAATCTAAGATATCTGTAAAGTTTTTAGTAAAGCTTAGAAGTTGCAATCTTGTTGGGTCTTATTAAGGTGCTACTTTGCTAGTTCTATTCTTTTCAGATATAAGTTAATATTGAAGTTACCTCCGATTATATTGATAGCATTTTCATTGACTTGTGATGACCATTTTTCGAAGAAGAGTTTTCTATCGTTTAGATTAGGAGGTGCATATATATTGGATATTTGGAATGTAAGATCTTTGAATTTGAAAGTAGTAATAATAATTCTATTGTCTAAATCTATTTTTGTGTTTTTAAATATTATATCTTTGTTGTTTGCAAGTATAGCTATCTTGTTTGATCAAATTGAATCGAAGTTCCACTAATTTTTAAGAAAGTTCTGTGTGTTTTTGTTATTTAAGTTTGTTTTTTGTAATATAATAAGGTCTAGTTTGTAAGATTTTAGAAGAATTAAAGTGTTTTGTTGTTTTTGTTGATTGTTAAGCCTCTTTACATTGAAGCTTGCAATTTTAAATTTAAATTGTCTAGTCATATTAAAGCAGAGTAGTACAGATTTCAGATTTGTGAATTCTGTGCTTCATTATGAGGTTTCTTATACGAAGCAAGTCTGATTATTTCACTTTTCTGATTTATGAGTTTTTTTTTAATTTTTTTGTCCTTTTTTTTTCTTTGTAGAATTAAAGTAAAACCATCATCTGGATTCTCTAATTGAAGTTGTAGCTTGTTGTCATTTGTAATTAGCACAACTGGAGTGCTTAGAGCTTTTGGTTTTTCAATTTTCATGAAAGAACCTGTGGTTAGATTTTCTATAGCAGAAGCATCATTTTCAATGCTGTTCATGCTTTCATCGACTGAACTAATAAGATCTTTTTCTGCTAGTGTGATACTGTTTATTTCATTACTTTCTTGGCTGGTAGCTATATTTAGTGAGGTTTTTTCTTGTTGAGATTCTTTGATACTGATCTCTTCTAGAAGGATGTTTTATTCTTGCTGAATTGCATTTAAATTTTCTAAATCTACTGATGGAAGCTTTTTTTTTCTTTTGTTAGAGAGAAATTCTTT